CCTTGCCTGCGACCACACCTTTAATCCTCCCACACCAACGAAAATGACGCCCCCTCAGACTTCAGACCTTTCATGCACCCTGGACGTAGAAGTCCGTTGTCTGCCTCAAAACCAACCGTAGGCTCACCAGCACATCAGCACTAGATAATAGGCCTGCTGTACAAATGTTGGATTAACTGTTGTTCTTCAAGAAAAAGTTCCACTATGTAATCTGTGTTCATGGCTATTCATTTTACTATAAAATGTTTTGGGTCAGTCAGAACGCAACATTGAGGGTTTAGCTCTGCTGAATGCAGAACTCGGTCAGGCTGCTTGGATCACAGGATTCAGGATATTTTTCCCTGACAGTATATACAACGTACACACTGAGACTGATGCTCAATGAGTTCACTGCACAAATTGACCCTAAAAAACACAGCCATATTGTTCATTAGAGCTTGAAGGAGCCTCAGATGTTTGTCTTTTGAAGAAATAGTTCCACTATGTTATCTGTGTTTATGGCTTTGCAGAGACATGGGAAGTCCATATTAAGGTATAGCTCAAAATAACACTGGTTGCTATAGGGAAAATCCTACCAGGTCAAAATATTGGGATAATATTAGCAGAAAAATCCTTTCCTAACAGCATAGTCCTCAAGAGTTTCCATCAGCATTTACGTATGTATCAATACCTGGGGATGACGCTGTTCCTGCTCCATGGATATCCTGCCTGAAACCATACCTGTAGTGGAATCTTAAAAAAACGTAAGGCCCAGATTCAGTGTCTTTGAACTGGGGGATCATGAATTAAACATGGTAAGAAGTGCTTTGCTCAGTTGCACTCATCCTTAATCTCGCTCGGCTGACTTCCTGGCTGCTGACGCCTCCCTGCTCCTCTCAGCCACAGCTCATTCTGTGGCCAAGCTCTCTGTCCTCTTTTTGTTGTGGTAAACTGTTAACCAGTGGTTTGTTTGGAATATATATTAAAACATTAGTTTGACAGCTAGAGCCAGTACAACTCTGCAGTTTGTGCATGCATGTACTAACATACATGAGTCTGGTGTGTTTGCAGATGCATGTCTACGCTTATAAATGTGTCAGTTTGAGTGTTTTATGTGGCGGGGCTCAATGTCTCCCCCCAACATAATTGGCTGTTTTCCACTCCACCTGCTGCAGCCTGATGCTAATGGAGCCTCCAGATGTGCAGGATGACGGTGTCTGAATGTGTTCTTTTCCACAGGCACAGTGCAGCACTTATGTAATTCAGCCTGACTATATATTACACCACCTGCCTGCGTCACTGAATACAGGGTCGCTAAGGTGTGAGTGTGTGTGTGTGTGTGTGTGTGTGTGTGTGTGTGTGTGTGTGTGTGTGTGTGTGTGTGTGTGTGTGTGTGTGTGTGTGTGTGTGTGTGTGTGTGTGTGTGTGTGTACGTACGTCGTCTACGTACTACTACGTTCGTAGTAGTACGTCGTCGTCGAATGTACGATTTGAAAAAGAATAGCGTGAAAACCGTTGCCTCGTAACAGGTGTAGCTCTGCCCCATTTCAAATTGGTGTGGAGCCTCGCGCCAAGAGAGGCGGTAGAGGCGTTCACACAAACGACGTACATCGTCGACGCACAACACATTTGACGGGGCGGGGGAGCGTGTGTCTGCCCCTCTTCTCTAGAGCGCAGACCTAGCTTTTATGTAGTATCTGCGTAAACAAACAGAAAAACCGTAAATAATCCTTTTGCTCAACCGTGTGATTCTGACGGCTATATTACAAAAACATCGTTATATGTACTGTATGTAAAAAATTTACAGAGGTCAAGGGTATTTTTGTGGTTATTGCAACCTCGAATTGCCGTGCCCATTTTGTATGCACCTACTGCAGTGGTTGCTTAGCGCGTGACTTAATCAACCGTTGATTCAAACCATTAGCTAAAATTAGCCCCAGCCAAATTCAGCTAAATCAAGCACGTGGGGATGTACTTTAGTCCATGTCGTCTTTTCGAATGTGTAAGAAAGGCCGCGTCTGACTTTTGTAGTATGAGAAACGCTGAGGGAAGCTCGCTATTTAATGATTGTTTCGTGAATATATGATTATTTCCTGACCCAATTAGATTTCGGTCAACTCCATCGTGAACTTTATCAAATCGAGATACTTTGGACTACAATGAATATACAAAGACAAAAGAAGTTCAAACATAAAACCAACCAGCTTGCGTGAATAACATTAAGCGAAACCTATTTTCGCAGTCGATTTACGTTACATTACATTACATTACAATGACAATCGCTATAATAAAAAAGCTTAGTTAGTAAAAAGTTTAAATACTAAAGTGTGTTATTTTTTTTTTTTTTTATGTAAAGAACCCGCCATGAAATCCCCCACGATACCGATAGTTTCCCCTCCGACGTCGTGGGGGAGGTGCAGGAGCGACAACGACGGATCCACGCAATGGACTATCCATAGTTTTGTTTTGTGTATAAAAAAAACAGTGTGTACAAAGAACAGGTTGTGAGTTACCCCAATTTGATGATCTGTACAGGTTTTTTTTTCTTCTGTAATTCGTCGGTGAAACCGCAAAGTAATGAGACGTTTTTTCGAAAGAACCTGACTAATTTAACCCACTGACGAACTCGGCACGTCCGGTAATTGGCTGCCTGGACACTTTCGGAAAGGTCCTCCGCACGAATCTAGTGACCTGCTCCAACCAGCGGCACAGTGTCTGTCCGACGTCAACTTTGCAGTCCATACATGTTTTATTAACAAATGGTTTTGATTCGGTTGACCGACGCCACCCTTGAGGGGACACGTGTAAGACGACGGGGCGCGTGTGGTGCCTCTTTACGCGTTTTTGTCGACTACGGATCTAGAAGTGGCCAGGCAGACGCAGCGCAATGCCGACGAAGGCACTAAAACCAGGCCGGAGGAGGCCGCAGTTTCATGGTATTGTATATACATGTTTCAATAATGAAGGGGTGTAGACTTTAGTCTATAGTGAAAGTTCAGTACGACTAAGCAAAGAATCATAAACTAGGAAGTTGCAACCGGAGTCCTTTAACGTGTCCTGTTAGGGTAAAAAACGTTGTTCAGAAACCTCTTCGTTAGTCTCCGAATTTGTCCCTGTCCCTCCCACGTAGAAGTAGTAGAAGTAGTAGATGGTACGTCTTCACCCTTTATCACCCTGTCATTCCTCTGTGACTCCTCGTAATCACTCCTTCTGACATGAATTATTTTGTGCGAAGCACACCCAACTCATGGTTTGTGACAAGGACCATAAGTAGACTCAATTGAGTGTTTTTTATAATAACGTGGGGACAAATATTATTGTATTCCCGACATTTTCACAAGTTTGTCCTATCAAATAAAACAATTTGTTTTTCATAGGCGACTAAAATGTCTGCATGGAAAGGTTTACATTCAGTTCCCTTTTTACATAAATTCCCGGGGTCCACTGCAGTGTCTGACTGTGTCTCCAACATCCATGGCGGAAACACCCGGTGATGTTTCTACGACGAAGATATGTAGGAACCTGAGAGTTGATCCGAGACTATAGTCTTGGTTACGACAGACAATGGTGGGTGAGATCTTTGCTCACGTAGAAGTAAAAATCGAGGGAAATGGACGACTTTCGTATACCTAAAGAATTTACGTCGAGTAAACCCCTAAACTAAATGGGTTGTTGAGTAAGTTGTACTTAATGTTCAGGTAATAACNATTTCAACAGAGGAAAACTGACAACTGGAAGATGAGTGGAAAAGCGTCACATAAATGTATAAGTGCTCACAGCTCCGTGGGAATTATTATGTGCAATTCATTTCTAAATGGCTTTCACATTACTATAATTATATTTTTATTTAAATGTAGGCCACATTTTACACCAAAACGGAACACAAAAGCAGGACCAACCATCATACATTGAATTCCTTGACTAACAAGAGAAAGATTCATTCATTTAAATAAATATTTAACAACAAATGGGCCGGTTCTAAGGGGTTATTCAGTTACATGTCATCATTAACAGACGTCGTTTAAGAGTGACGTTTGAGTGAACGAGGACATCCCAATTAATACCTGAGGACTCATCTGTCCTCGCGTCACCTCCTCGTGTTTCTCGCTGTCATCTTACGGAGGTGGAGCTAAGATGCAAGGAAGGGACGTGAGTGAAGGAAAGGAGGAGTCGAGGAGGGGTATTGGGATGAGGCTACTGTATAGTTGGTCGAAACTTGTAGAAATGTTACCGGGTTGTGAGGTTTTCTCTTCTGTGTGTGGTTTGGTTTTCATCCACTAGGTGGCAGTGTTTGCTAGCAGCAGCAGAAGCATTGATGCTTGAGGTCGAGATGTAATGCAGTGGTTTTGTTCCTTACTCAAATATGTATAAGAAGAAAGTCACGGTAAAGTATTTAGAAAAAATTGAAATAAAAAGTCAAATTTATAGTGAGTCACGTGTAAAAGTCACGGTATAGCAAGTCAAAAAGTGCAACAGTTCAATTATAGTAAATTAAAAAGTTTAAAAGTCATAGTAAGTAAAACATGTAAAAGTACTATACTATGTCAAAAAAAGTGTAAAATCATAGTATAGGAAGTAAAAAAAACTTAGTATATTAAAATGTTATTTGAGTGAGATCTTCTCGTTTGGTTTTTAATCCACTAGGTGGCAGTGTTTGCTAGCAGCAGCAGAAAGATTCCTACAGTGGTTTTATACTGTGACTTTTTGTAATTTCTTTAGACATACTACTACTATGAAAGGATCTAAAAAAAGTCAGGGTATGTTAAGTAGAAAAATAAATAATATTTCTAAAAATGTTTGTCCAAAACTTTTAAGTAAATCTGTATGTGGAGTTTTTTTAAAACTCCTAGTATAGCATGCTGAAACAAGTCATAGTAAAGTAAAAAGTCACGTGACAATATGTCCGAAAACGTAGTATATTGTATCGTGTGCTGAAAACAGTTAGAGAAGAAACGGCAAAATGCAAAGTTTCATATCAATCAGCCTCTTAACTTCCATTAAATGACGACACTAACACGCAGTTTGAAATTTGTTTTTTTTACTTAAAAAAGATCAAAATAAAGATGTACAATTAAAACCCAAAAAGAAGACGCCATATTACTCTTCAGCTCTAAACAGACGGATGGCAGGACAAACAAAGGCATGACCTGAAATATCTCCAACAGTTTCCTCCTGCCTTTTGGGATTCAAACGGAAAACATTTAGAAACGACGCCGTGTTCGTCGCCGGCTGCTGCTGATGTGGCTTCTTGTATCCTATTGCAGGTTGTCCCAAAAATAAAAAGAGATGAGGACACTTCAGTGGGAAGACTGTCTGCTACGGTGTGTCCAGCTTCCCAAAATCCACAGTGTCACTTGAAATAACATATTGAGAAACGAATGGGCCTTTTTTTGATCATCTTCCCTTCATGGTTCTCGCCTCACACACACATCTATGAAGATATACACCCATATTGGACATTTCAAACCAGGAGACAGACAGTTTAGTTCCTCGGTACAAAAAATAGATCAAAGAATGAGAAAAATAGTTATATTCTGACGGCAGAAAGTTTATAAATACTCATAATAATAAGCGTCTCTCTGGGTCTACACAGTGAGGGGGTGTTCTGTTTTTAAGGGTTGGGGGTGGAGCTACTTTAACATTCATCGTTGAATATATTAATGAATCTGGGTATCAGAGTATCTGGGCAGTCGATACCCCCTTTTCACATTTAGAGAATACAATAACACATAACACTTTAACTCCTCCGTCATGTTTTTCATTATTGCGATGAATAAAATCTTATTTAAAGATGATTTTACAAAAAAACAACTGTCCGTCTGTCCACTACTGCTATGTACATCTGTTTAAAAAGCAAGCATGTTACACAGTCGTCTCTATGTACAGCTAAAGTATTTTTTCCACTGAATATACATATTTACTTATCTTCACAGTTTCTCCTATGTTTGCTCATATATTCAATTTCATTAGATTTGTGTTATGAGTACAAATGTGTTTCTTCTTCTCCTCACCGGGGCTACTGTCCTCCCGGTGTTGATATCTAGTTCTGCTCGAGTCCGTGGAGCAATTTCAGTTTTGAAAACAATCTTGATTTGTAAGTTCAGTTTTTATTTTTTTATATTCCCGATTCACAGCAATCCCAAAAAAATACGTTTCAAGTTTACAGTTTTCTGGTCTTTATCATATTTCATGATATTATTCCTCCTTGTCTGCTCCTCTTCACCAGGGAATGGCTCCACTGGATCCCCTTTTGATTCAAACATCCACGAGAAAAAAAAGAAAATCTAGATTGTTTTTTCTGGTTTCCGTAGATTTCCGAAAAAAAAATCATTGTTCGTTTTTCCTCTAACTTCCCGGATCCGTCTCACCCTCGTTTCCGGTTCTCTTGGTGGTGAAGAAGTTTCTGGTAGTTTTCGTTGGCGGTGTGATTATTGTTTTTTTTTTTTTTTTTCTGGTTTCAGGATTTAAGGCACTTGAGAGGTTTTTGGTTTTCACGGGAGTTCTGAGGAGACGAGGGCGAGGCCGGAGCTCTGGCGGATCGGAGGTCCCGCGTGGACCGCTTTCGGACAGTCGGGCGTTAAAACCCGTCCGTTCTCCCCGACACTTCCTGTGATGGACAGACGCGCTTTATTCCTCATGGCCTCTGTGAAGGTCAGCTGAGGAAGAGAGACAGAAAGAGAGGTGTTTGTGAACAGAGACGAGGAAAAAAGACACGTTTGATACGAAGCAGATTGGAGTCGTAGGACGGGTTCGAGATCAAGAGTTCTTATGAAGCTTTACTGGCGCTATTTATTGATTTGAATTGTTTAATAGTATCTTTATTTAGTGTCATTTTGTACGTTTATGAACCTTGTTTTGAAGGAAGTGTTGGGCAATGGTTGGTTAGCTATTTATTGGAGACAGGTGGAGGTGGGATTGACGCATGGGAGGCGGCATGATGGGCATGATGGGTAAACACTTGATATTTGTATTGTTGGATTATTTGAATATCCTTCATAAAGCGTGAGGGGGAAATTTGAAGGGTGTATTTCACGTTTGTTATGAAAATAAGTAATTGGGCTTTTTTTTTTATCAACTTAGATTTGTTAGAAAATGTTTTAAACTTGAATTTATTTGAAAATTGGTCTTATTAACACATGAATAATACTGTGTATTATATGTTTACATCTATATTTAGGAAGTAAAATATAAAACAAGCACATGTTTCAGGTGTGGGCCATCTTCCTTTTAGAATGATAGTTTGGACACCCCTGCTTTAGATAATGGCAGAAATGTAGGCTGTATAAACTATTTGCTTGTTTACTTCTCTGATCGTTTATCTGCTTGCGTTTTAATGATGAGATTTAGCCCGTTTCAACACCTTTAATGACTTCTGTCTCCAAGAAACGTAAGAACTCGAACTCCAGTCTGCTTCAGCATTATCTGTTCAAACCAACACTTGAATATAAAGACAGAAGTGTAGCAGGACAGACGTTTCAGAGCCATTCAGGACAGAATGAAGCCAGCCCTCATTACACAGTGATAGTGATAGCAGGGAAGCCGACTCAGCAACATGAAGGGTTTGAAAAGCTGATGGGGGACAGAAACACACCGAAAAAAAGAGTCTGATGGACGAAGACCTGGGGGAAATATATCCGGAGATAAAAAGCAGAAGCTCCGCATCGATAGCCGAGCTCCAGGGATTCCTCTCTTTATTTTAAAGTAATTGGAGTTGGGATTGACGCAACATGTTTTTTTAAAAGGGAAAACCAGAAGAAAGGCAGCAGGGCATGATGGGTAAACACGATTGTTCTTTGGATTATTGCAATAGATAGATAGTAATAATAATAATTTGTTCCATACATGTTTGGATTAAAATCAAGGCTTAATCGTCCGTTAAAAACATCCCAACATAACTAAGAGTTTTCGGGACCCTCACTCTCCAACAGCCGCACATAAGCAAACGTAAGTGTTGTTCTTATGATGTTAGCTGTTATTAAATGAAGCTCTGACCATCATTTCAGTTATTTTTAACATTTAAAAATACTCCACTGCTAATTTTCTATGTGAAAAACAAAGTACAGACAGGGACGGATGAGCTGCAAGTTGATGAAAGGTGTAGACGTGTGAACAAGTAAGACATTGGTCCTCATTTAACATGCCTTTCCTACCTATATGTACACTATAGGTGCAGTAAAACCTGTAATACAGTAAGAAATGTCCGCTAGAAACTCCCATGTTGACCTAATTAACTCATGAATAGCAGATTTTGATGCTCAAATATTGCATTTGACTACTTTAAGTGACTGAAATGATAATTATCTCCGCTCCGAGGTCAGGATGAGGAATACTTTCGTTTCTTGCCCGGAGATGTGTGACGCTAGCTTGATAAATGAGAACCAGCGTCATGTCTGAGGATGACTCAGCGCTTCCTGTCACATTGGGAGGACCAGGACGTCACATGACCACAAGAGCAGATCAGACAAGGAGGTGGGAAGCCATTTTGAGCCACGTTTTCACCACAGTCACTGAGCAAAGGAAGGAGAGGTTTCACTTACAGATAAGAGGGAGGGGCTTATAGGCAGACTTTACGTTCAACCGTCTACATTTAATCAGCTTCCCCGTCGTTAAAACCATCGCTAAACTGGGCTACGTCCTGGATGCTGGTTCTGGGACTCTAGAAGAGGGTTTTGGGGCTGGGATTGGTACTCTTCGGGCTTTAGGGGGTTAAAAAGGGGGTCTTGGGTCTGGGATTGGGACTCTGGGGGCTTTAGGGGGTTATAATGTGGATTTTGGGGCTGGTTTTGGGACTCTTTGGACTTTTGGGGGTTAAAAAGGGGGCTTTGGGGCTGGAATATGGACTGGGGATTTAAGGGGGTTACAATGTTGGTTTTGGGGCTGGTTTTGGGATTCTTTGGACTTTAAGGGGGTT